TCAGGGGTGGCTCTTCCAAAAGAGGGAGAGGGCACCCTTAAAAATCCCAGTGATCGAAAAAGTGACTCAGCTCTCCGCAGAGTGCATGAGGCCATTGCCTTCTCCATTAAAGCTTCTGCTACCACTTCTCTGATGGCAAGAGCCTCATACATGTGGCTTCATAAACTGTCTCAAGAATACCCAGATTTAAATCAGTGCCTGTCAAGTTACATGCACAGTTTTCATGTCTGATGCTAGCCTGGACACAATCAAGTTCTCAGCAAGGGCCATGGCTTCCACACTGATAGCCAGAAGACATCTCTGGCTCAAGTCCTGGATTGTGGACTCCCTTTCTAAGAATCATGTGGCATCTTGGACTTTCCTGGGTGGCACAAGAAATGCTTGTAGGCATACCCTTCCAAGTGACCACAGACTTACAGATCACAACAGATGCCAGCCTGATGGGTTGGGGAGCCCGTTATGCAGTGGGCCACATGCAGGGGATCTGGTCCCATCAAGAAGCTTCCCTCAGCAGCATCAATCTTTCGAACTGCATGCAATTCATCTGACACTTCTTCACTTCCAAGACCATCTGTCTCAATTGAACATATGTATATGGACAGACAACACTATGGCCAAGGCGCATGTGAACTGCCAGGGAGGCACCAAAGCCAAAAGGCTACAGCAGAAGTCAATTCCTTATGTCCTGGGCAGAACAATATCTGGCCTTTCTCAGAGCAGAACACATCAGTGGCATAGCAAATGTTCAAGCAGACTGGCTCAACCACACCAGGCTGGACCAGGGGGAGCGTACCCTCCGTCTGGAAACATTCTAGTCCCTAGTTCTACATTTCAGCCTACCATGCATTGCCTCCCCAACCAATGCCAAGACACCCAGATTCTTCTTGAGACAAATGTCAACAAGCAGAACAAGTGGATGCTCTGGTGTCCCCATGGCCATCAGGCCTTCTTTATGACTTACCCCACACCTTTGATTCCAAAGGTTCTGAACAAAATGAAACAGGAGAAGGCAGAGTTGATTTGCCTGGCTCCATTCTGGCCCAGGAGGCCTTTGTTTTCCAACCTGTTGAAATCATCGGTTCAACCTTCATGGGAAGTTCCACTGTCACCCAGTATGCTAACACAGAGTCCCATCTGTCACCCAGACCCAGCTTAGCAGATGTCTGTAACGCATCTTACCTGGGCTGTAAGGCATCTTACCTGGGCTTTCGTGTCAACATTTATCAGGCACTACAAGATGGACTCTGACGCTGTGGCTGATGCTTCTGGACAGTCCAACAGCAAGTGGTCTAGTCCTACTGTTATCTATATGGTTGGTAGTCACTTTTCCCTCCCTGGATCAGATGATCTTTGTAACATCCCAAGCATATCAGAGTGTCCTCCTCCCCTCAAGAGAGAATGGAACATTCGACTTACCCCAAAGAACATTCGACTTACTCCTTCTTCTCGACAGCGAGGGGGACACTCTGGTCCCACCCTAGTTGGAGGGTCTCTGTTCAGCCTATTACATTTTCTAAAGAGTGACTGACTGCCAATCTCCATGTTCATTGTTCGTTCACTGTTCTAACAGTGTATCTTTATCTGTGTAGTTTGTTTCATTGGGTACTGTAAGCCTTGTTGTGTCTGTTTGTTTGTTTGTTTGGCACACACTGTGGACTGTTAACAGCTGCAGAAGTCTCCAGACTGAGGGTGGGCTCCTCCTCCCCCTGGAGATGGAAAGTGCACTCAGTTTCCTGCCTCCAGGGATTGTGGAATAGGAACCCAAGCATATCAGAGTGTCCTCCTCACCCTCAAGAAGAAGGAACCTAATGGTAAGTCCAATGTTTTGTTCTCTCAACCTAAGCTACTGCACAGGGTTGTTGTGAGGATGAAATGGAGGAGACAAGAATATTGTAAGCTGTTTTGGATCTCTACTGGGGAGAAAGGTGTGGTGTAAATCACTAAAGAAATATAGCATCAATAAGAGGCGTTACATTATTTTCCTGTGTGGAAGAATAATTTGGCAGCAGGTTCTGGGAACTGTACTGAGAAAAGCTGGGGCATGAATGAGCAAGAAAGAATTTATCCCTTGAGAGAAACTTCCATTTGAGAAAGACCGCACTTGCAGGATTTTGTTTCCACTCCCCTTCCCCTCTCTGTCTTGGTCTAATTGGCTTTGCCTTTGCCCCATTTCAGAACATGAAAATGAAAAGGAAAAAGCAAAAATGGGGAAAATCATAATTTCTCTCAAATTTCATTGCTAGGAACATTTATGATATTTTAGGGTCCAAGCCTTCATGGAGCAGTCAGAGCTTGTTTTCTTGGGGTTGCTCTCTCAGGATCTTTCTTTATTCTGAAGCAAGCTGGCTACCTATACAGAATTCCAGGGTGTTTCAACTAAACTCTGTTGCTGAATCTCTTCTATCATCATAAAACTCTTACTCAACTGGTAATTCTGTTGTTTCCATGATTACTAAGGAGAGAATTAAGTCTGGAAGCTGTGACCTTGATGTAATTTTTCAGCTTGCGTCAACTTGTGTTCATTCCGTTGACTGTGCAAACACATTAAGTTGAAGTGAGTTCTGATGCCCATAATAATGTATTTAGCATCCCCACTTGGCTGCCACAGAGTAATCAAAGATTTATTTACTTTTGGATGAAGGCTAAAAGTGGGACCTCTTGCTACTTTTGTGCATAAAGTGGAAGAAGCGGGAAACAGACTTGGTGTACTGTTTCTTCCACTAAACCATAAAGGACAGTTGATCAAGTGATTTGCTTACCTTGGAGTGGTGAATTTGCACATCAGTACCGATTATGGTTTTTGGCATTGACTTGGGGTTTTTGGCAGAGACCACATCAAGCAGTAAATCAGCAGCATAGAAAAACTGTCATATGATGGAAGCATTTAATCCTCCATATGGATAAAGGCACTGTGTGTTCCTAAGAGTAGCAAAGAATCAGTACATGTTCCACAGCTATGCTGTGTTAAAGTGCTATGTTTATACAAATTGTGTGCAATTCTCATACTCCAAACCAGTTAAAACATTCCTAGTACCTATAGCCTCTGGCTGTAACCTATATCTTGTAAAATTTTGCAAAAGAGATTCAGCTGAACCTTGCCCTTCCTTCTGACCCAATTTGGGTCTGGTGTACCCAATTATTTAAAAGTTGTCAGAAGAGAGTGGAGCTTGCTATTTGTAAGGATTACCCACATGAGTATATGCCACTTTTTTTTGTACTTAAGACTGTATTTAAAGGAATCAGAATATGTTTATGCAATAAATAAATCTGCTAGGTGTTCGTCTATGACTCTCTTCTGCTAAGTATTGTTTCAAGGGGAAAAGACTTCCTTTAGCTGAGAATTACTTTTTGTGATGGAGAATTTCTTTATTGGAGAAAATCTGGGTTTGTCAAAGAAGGTTTTTCTTTGTTGGAGGAAGACACGGTGGAAGAGAATCATTAGATCCATCCCTAGGTTTATATCACAGTAAGTGCCATTTTCAGACTTCTGTTCTGTGCATCCAAGACATGACAATGTATTGTAATAAGGTTCTGCCTTGTGTCTGCCATGCTTTTATAAAGTGTCATCCATATTTGTAACATGGAAATCAGTATAAGGGCAAAACAAGATGTGACGTTTGCACCATTTTGGAAATATACATGCATAGACTACTGTACCTGCACATTCAAATGGGGGCAAATAATGCCCACACAGCCATGTGGGCTCAGGAAAATGGTGTATGGGAAGGGGGCAGAAGTGCATCCTTCCCCTGTGTCATGTCTCAGTCTGAAGTGGATCCCTGTGATGCCATAAAAATTAGTTCCCCGCAGCTGCTTTGTAAGGAGCTGCGGTGGCTCAAGTGGTTAAGATGCTGAACTGCAGGCTGTGGAAGGTCAGTAGTTCAGCAGTTCGAGACCCGGGTGCCGCAGGACAGAGTGAGCTCCCGTCTCTAGTTCCAGCTCCTGCCTGACTCATTTAAAAACCTAACAACTAGTATGATCATATACTGTATTCTTTAAAGGGGTGGCGGATCTCCCTACAGTCCTATTTCCTGCTAAATATTTGAAGAGAAGCTGGCTAATCCAACACAAAACCTCTACCTTCGTCACCTTCCCTTCAGTTCCAAAAAAAGGAATTTGCAATAGCGGGATGCATCTTCCATAGTGAAAACCTCCTCTGCTTCTTTCTTCATATGTGCCATGGTACAAGTGCCATTGTATTTTGAAGGATCAGAGACGACTGAGGAAATAATCATATAACGGACATAGGCGTTTAGGAATTTTGTGGTGGGAAGAAGATGCCATAATATCAATATACACTGAAAGCAGCGATCAGGAATCCTTCCCTTTTCTGTCTGAGCGATGAAACTGCTTGCTGACTGACACACAGTAAAATTCCCAGTTAGTCAACAGATACTCATATGCACTCAGCCTCAGATCAAGCATAGTAAATCAGCCCCGGGTCAGACAGAAGGGGCTTTTTTTCCCTTTTTTCTTTTTTGCAGGACCAATACTCTGTTAATAATAGCAAAACATGACCTTTACGGCTTCTGCTTCCATTGTTGAATGGCCATTCCCTTTTAATGCAGCTGTTTTGGAATTCTGCTTGCCAAAAGATGTGTTTATATCTGGCAAGAGCTCTCTGGGAAGCTCCAGGAGCAGCGTATGAGACACAAGCAGAGCCAGAGCTGCCTCTGCAGATATCCTTCCTTTCCCCTCCCCTTCTCTTTCATATAAATGCACTTACACACACACACACAGACACACCCCTCTCTCCTGGAGGGATGTGGAGGATCATGTGCTGAAATGAAATGATGATGTGTGTGCGTTTGTGATTCCCCTCCCCTTCTCTTTCATATAAATGCGCTTACAGACACACCCCTCTCTCCTGGAAGGATGTGGAGGATCATGTCCTGAAATGAAATGATGATGATGTGTGTGTTTGTGTGAGAGAGTGGCAAAGCAGAGCTCCTGAGGACGGGAGGGGCAGAGAGCCTCCTTAGGCTTTTCATGTGCTTTTCATGCCCTTTGTTGGCGGGGTCCGGTGTTCCTGTCTGCTGCCCGTGGCTTCCAACCCTCGGCAGCAAGAGCTGGAGCCAGAGCTGGTTATCATAGGGTAAGTCTGAAGTTCTGGGGCTGAAATGTCAGATTTGTCAAAAATGGGTGCTTATGAATGTGTGTATATGTGTATATTCTCAGCTGTCAGGCCTCTGGCCGTCCTCTCTCAACCACTTACACATACAGTAGCAGCAATCTCAGCCATGAGTGGAATTTGTGCAGGGGGTGGGGAGAGAATGCTGGGTGCATTGTGCAGCCCCCTACCTGCGTTCATCTAGTAGCTGTGTGTAAATGTAAATATACTGCTTGCTTGTAAATACTGCATTTGCATCAGGAGGTAAAATATCACAGTGCACGCACACAATGAAAATAGTAACATTAAAATATATATGATTTAATAGTTTAAGTAAAAAGGGGGGTTGTTTTCCATTTCTGTTGCGTTTTACACTGCTCACTCTAGCAGATCTTGGACTCCTCCCTGGATCTATTCAACAGGGCTTATTCCCAGGAGATTATTTTTAAGATTGCACTGTTAATGTACTGATGTTGTTGCTCTAAGGTGTAGCAAGGCTGCTGTTCCCATTTTGGAATATGTTCATAAGGCAAGCTAATAAAGCCTGTTTGGCATGGGCAAGTAATTAGCAGGCACATATATTTCTTCAGGAGAAATTTTAACTGAAAGAGTTTGAATGTGCCTTAATGTATTTCCTCTATTTTAGGGCTACGGGGATCTCCATCAGAAAAACAAAATGTATTATTGCTAAGAAAATAACACTGGGATTTCAAATTCATCATCCCTCCATATCCCTATTTTATAAGCAAGTGGTAGATACTATATTTTCCTTTAAAAGTCCACTGGGAGAAGCTTTTAATCAGTAACTACCTTGTAAGTAAATGAATAAGCAGACATACAGTCTGCAGAAGCAAACAGCCTAGAAACCTGTGCCATGAACCTAACCTGCTCACTATGCATTATAGTGGCATTATTATTGTATTTAAGGGAAGTATTTAAAACTATGAGTTTTGTTTTTTGCTTGTAGCACTGGCCAGTACATGCGGTGGGTATGCTAAAACAATACAAGCAAGATAAGACACCTGTATTAAAGAAGACACATGCAATAAGGTAAAGGGTTAAAGAGCTGCAGTTGGTAGGTGCTCCCTGAAACATGTACACTTGTTTACAAACAAGCATTTGTTTCCTATGCTGTGCAGTGCATCCCTTTGCAAGGGAGAAAAGAATAACTTTAATTATAATTTTCAAGTATTATAATTTTCAAATCCAGTTTGCCATGTGGTTCAAAGAAATTGAAATTGGTTCAAAGAAATTTTTCTTCCCGTGCAAAAGAATGCATTAAAATTGTAGAAATAATGTGATGAAAATTATAGTTATAGATTCAAAAATAAAAAATTACTCATTTTTGGCTAAATATTTATGGAATATTTATTCCTCATTTTCCCCCTGTACAAGCCCAAAGCAGATTACATCAGCAGAAGTTCTTTACAGAAATGAACCAATAAGCATTCCGAGCGTTTCATGTACATTGTAGTCCTTACAATTGTCTTGTAAGGTTGACATTTTTAAATTTTTTGTTTAATATAATGCAAACACTGTACATACAAATAAAGCAATAATTGCAAGGTAGACATGTATTATTATCTCCACAATTCAGATGGGGCACTTAGGCTACTCAGTACACTTGTCAGAAGTAAAATTCATCCCAGGGTTTTCAGCTCATGGAACACGTGTTATAAAACAGTTTGCTCTAGATTGCAGGTTAGATCCAGCGCTCTTTTCTGCTCAGTCTCTGCCAGTTCCCTTTCTTATTACAGCCCCTGTTTCACATGTCTTTTTTCCAGGCAAATCTCATGAGCCCCAGTGTAGCCTTTTCAGGAGGGGGAACCCCCTCCTTCATTTTTTCCAGTGAAAAAGCTGTGGAAAACGCTATTACTTCATACGTTTCAAGGTTAAGCTTTGGTTCTCATGCCGGATTCCAGGCCTGTGCCTTGGTGATCCCTGAGGGATATTCTGTCCTTCATCTTAACTGTTGAAAAAGCATGGCATTCTTTGTTGCCTGTAAGTGCAAACTTGTTCATTGGGGTGACTTTCAACAAAAGCAAAAGGGACATCCCCCCGCCCCGCCCCCCGTGCAAGTCCTTAACCTTGATGCTTGTCTCTTTATTTTGGGCTGTTATAATTAAACAAGAATTTCCAGAATTCTTATCCAAATTTCTTCTTAGATTTTGGAGTTCTGAATGGGGCCATGTTTTTGAAATGATACGTTAAGAATCTTCCATCCTACAACAACAACAATCTGAATTTTATATGAACATTCCGTGCCTGCAAAGTTTGCCAGAGCTCTCAGTTCTTTCATATTGTTGTGTGTGTTGTAGGCTTCTTTCTCATTATTGTGTCAGGTAATTTTCTTTGTTCTTCTGGTTGTTCTCAAGTCTGTTGTTGATACTCTTTAGAGCTTTTTCTTTCTCTATGAAAACTGGTGGAGGGGGTTGACGACACACAAACTTCAGAAAAGGCAAAGCCAAAAAGATGCAAAGTTACTTTACAGAAAAATTGCGAATTCCCAGTGCACTTGCTGATCTCCATCAGGAAGAACACCCTCTGTTGAGACTTGCGTAGAGGAGCTGTATTGACTTATGCAGTGGAACTGTGTCTCATGCCTGAAGGCATGTCTCTCTCTGGAGGGAGATCTAATATGGTTAGGTAAATATTGGACAAATTCCCCTGTTGAAAGTCAGTGCAATGCACTGGGAGTTGGGGATTTTCTTAAAGGCGAACTTTTAACTCCAGTTTGAAAGCAGATGTATACCTCTGTGTTTCTTGGCTCAATTTAAGGTGCTTGTTGTTATTTGTAAAGCTTTTCAGAACCAGTGTGGTCTAGTGGTTAGAGTGTCAAACTAGAGTGGAATCCCCTCTCAGCCTAACCTACCACAAAAATGAGGAACACACATACTGGATGGGGGATACACTTCTGGGTAACAATGTATGTGAACAAGATATTAGGGTACGGGTGGACCCTAAGTTAAATATGAGCAGTCAGTGTGATGCGGTGACAAAAAAGGCTAATGCGAACTTGGGGTGTATCAACAGAGACATAAAATCCAAATCGCAAGATGTCACAGTCCCACTGTACACTGCTTTGGTCAGGCCGCACCTGGAGTATTGAGGAGGGTGGAACACAGAAACCAGCTGGGGCTGTAAATAATGGCAACGACGAGGAAAGGATAGGGAGGGCTGGATAGAGGGAGAAGGTGCAGGAGCAGAAAGCCTTGTCCCCGTGCATGGAAGCAGTGACTGGGTTGGTGCTTTCAAGACCCTGTGGGCCCTGGCTATGATGTTCTTCTGTTCCCAGAGGGCATCGCATCATGTTCTGGTTCATGTCCACACACACCCCTCCCGCATTGCTTCTGCTGATACCATCTCTGTAGCAAGCTTGGACCTTGGTAGATTTTCAGTAGTGGACTCACTATGTGCTATGGAATGGTCTTCCAAAGGAGGTGTCGAGCATGCTGTTTGATGTAATAGTTCTTAAAATTATACCAAGCTGCTTTCTTAAATTTCCAGAATGATGATTTTTCTGGAAGTGTTAGGCCACTTAGCTGCTTTATTTTTGCGGGGTTTTTTACAGCTGTTGTTTTAATGTTGCAGTTTTATTTATTTGTTTATTTTTATGCATTTTAAACTTTGGTCTTGTAAGCCACATCAAACTGAAATGAGGAAGTGGGATACATAGTTGTTTTTTTATGAAATGAGGAAGTGGGATACATAGTTGTTGTTGTTGTTTTTAAACCAAATAATATACTAAATAACTCCACACCAATGTTCCCTCTAAGCTGTGGAGCAAGAATTCTACTTTATGAGCTACTGGCATTAAAGTTGTGAATGAACGATTTGGCTACTGCATAAATTAGTTTGCTGTGGAGGCATCCTTCCTGAGCTAAGACAAATGTGTGAGCTGGAGGCTAAAAAAACTCAGCTTAGAGGGAACACTGCTCCACACCTTGTCTTGAGTATCCCCCCCCCCCCACAGTTCTTTGAGCACAAGGGGTTACTGATTCAGCTGGATGCTTTCCTCACTTTATACCATGGGTCTATTGTAGAAGACATTCCCTCAAATAACGGAGTGTAACGATGCTCCTGAAGGGTCTATGCTAAGCTACTGTGAGAAAGTGAGGCTTCATTTGTAAAGAGGCTCTGCTTTTTTCTTTCTGGAGACAGAAAGCAGAACTCAAACCATAGTCTAGTTTGGAAGAGGGGTTCACCACTGGGGAAATATGCTTCTCTCTTCCTCTTTGACAAATGAACAAAATGAATGTTTCTTGTTTTATCTGTATTCCTGCATATGTGTTTTATCTCACATAAACAGGATGGAAAAGAGCAAGTAAGGTATATGTATAGAAGTTAAATGCTGTTCACCAATTATTGATGCGAGCATTGTGTTTGTGAAAATGGCAGAATATCTGCTACCTCAATTTTTTAATGCAGTGTTATTCTGTTCTGTATAAAAATATGTTGAGGATACTTTCGATTGTGCTGGCATCCTTTAGTAAATATTATAAGCACTAAAGGTTCAGTAACTGGAACCTCTGAGTCTTGACAGAAAAATGTACATAAAGTACTTCTTGGCAGTAGAACTTGCTGGCAGACCACTTGATGGCATGGAGGTGGGGATTGTGGCTCGATTTAATAGTAATGCAGGGGGAGTTAAAATTGCTTGTCTATGTGTTTAAATTGGCCCTTCAAAATTATATAAGTAAAGCGTGCCAAAGTAACGTCTGCTGGAGCCATGCATTCCTAATGTGCTAACACTGTACAAGTTGTGGCTCAGAGCCTAATTTAAATGTGAAGCTGGCCCTGTAGAACACCATGCAATTTTAGCTGCCTGTTTAAGGAGAGTGTGCAGATGTCTGTAACTATAAATTTCTTTTAAATCTTGATATGCTCTTTTATTCATGGTGTGTGGTAGAGTGCAGGGATCAAAATTTTGATTCTGTGCAAGAAAATGGAATTAATTGCATCCTTCTTTTTTTTTAAACCCTTCTTTATTTCTTCCAGAAGAGGGCTGTCCAAAGGATCTGCAGACCGTGACATACAAGGAAAGACTGAAGATTCTCTTCCAGCACCTTTTACCAAAAGCGTACAAGAAGCAATTAACAGCTATACATTGTATGAGTTACCTTCTGGAATCATGTTGATTTAAAAATGAAACATGTGAAGTATGGCCTCCAAGAGTAGACAAGAACAGTGTAATGTAGTATGTTCTTAAAAACATAGAAATTAGCTTACAGTAGCCTAGAACTGCAGTATGATCCTCTATGTATCACAAACTATTTCATCATCAAGGTTCTTGGTCATGATTTTGTGTTACTAAAAATCACCCAACTTCTAATTCTTTTTTTTTAGATATAATATTTTTCTTTATTTTGAACACACACAACAGAAATACACGTACATAAACATACAAACACACATGGGGGGCAATTTTAGTTCCAAATATTTAACAAATATTTATCTTCTAATTCTTTGATGTTGAAAAAAATAGCAAATGCTGTGCAGTATCTTGGTTCTGGGCTGCTTTTGTATCTCAGGTTCATGGAGCTCCCTGTATAAGGTTTATTTTCAACATGTCTGAAATTGTCAGCTGCATTTAATAATTGCCTTTAAAGTTATTCTGGTTAGGATCCAAAGAACTTTGAAACTAGTTCCAAAAGACCGACGGTATGTCAGCCTATGTTTCCCAATTAACGGTCTCCAATTCCCTTATATGAACTGGAGCATATTTTAGAAAACACGGTGGCAGGAATAAGATTTTAGGCCATGCTTATGATTTTAAAAAATTGCAGGAGAACAAGGAAAGAATAGAACAAGTCTGTTGTCCATATCAATTGCATAAGAGTACCTGGCTTGGATAGCAAACAGTGGAAGAAGACTTTCCAAGCGCCTTCTTTCGGGTACAGCCCAGTGAGGTGCTCCCCTCCCCATTCTGATCCTAGGGCTAAGGAGAGGGGACCTCCATCTACAGTATCAGGGGCATTGACAAAATTCTTCCACTCCTTCACCAATAAAACTGTTGTTCCACTGTTACCATTACTGTGGCAGAAGAGTGCCTGTAGTCCAAAGCGTACCTGTGAATGTAGTAGGTAGCTTATACGTATTCACAGAGCAGGAGAAAAGTCGCTTAGAACGTTTTGTAATGCATTGTATATTTAACCCGTGCCATAAGCTGTTCACTCATCTTTTCCCACCAGTATCAATCAACTGCTTTTTCAAAATTTTAATAATTGCAAAAAAGTCTTAAGTAGCTCCAAGTGTGGTGTCTTAAGCCGCAATATATGTGTTTGTATTTAAAGTGCCACAAAGCTCTTTATTAAAGTACAGCGAGGTTGGATCCAGGACAGCATTTCCATGGGCTGTACCCATGGAAGGTAACTTGCATGGCTCCCCTTCCCGAGGCAATCTGAAATACCTCCGAAAATCCTGTTTTCAGGGATCTCCCCCAGAAGCAATATTTCAGAAGTCATTTCAGGCTGCCCTGAGAGGAGGCAGCCACGGAAGTTGCACTCCCATTGGACCCAACCCACTGTTCTTAAAGAAATGTAGCGTGAAACATTACTTTTAAATTTTGTTTCTGCCTCCAGTGTTTCTGTTTCAACGTTCTCATCTAGTGGGCAAACGACACCCACAGACTTGAATCGTTCCTGGTCAGGGATACAGAGTTATACTACTGGCCCGTCTACAGAGAGAAGCTCAGTGTACTCCTGGAGGGACGATGTATGTCATCATTTATGGTTAACCACTTATGTGTATTCTCTCCTGAAAAAAAATCTCTAAAATATTTGAAGATGACTGCCTTACATGTACAGATCTCAGCTATATTTATTGGGAAGGTCAATCAAAAGCTGTGTGGTAACTTCCAATAAAACATTTAGTGTAGAATATCTCAGCTATCCTTTTTTCTTTGTGTTATTATCTTCACCTCTAAACATTCTCCATCTTCCACTCCCTAAGACTGTTCTTTGTGATTATATTAGTAAACAAATATTGATTTTTCCCCTTCTCATATTAATCTTCTTTGGATTCTGCTCCTACTCAGCTTTCCCCAGCACATTTGATCTTCTCGCCCTGCCTGATCTTGTTAGCCTTTATTTCTTGAACCGTGGTACCCTTGCCACCTTTCCTTTGCTGGTTTCGGCCCTGTATTCATGCATGGTGTGAGATCCACCCTCTTTCTGATATTTTATATCCAAGGATTTGTTTCTTTCTGACACCTTACTTCCTGCTAAGTGAGCATATTTCTCTAAGCTTATTCATTTCTACTATTTATTTATTTTTCTTCTTTTACTCCCATTTCCCATTCATCATCATGTTCTTTATCAGCACTGGGTTTCCTAACTCTAATCATTTTCTTTGTTGTTTTTCCTCCTTTGAAATATTTTCCTTCACTTACTTCTTTTGATAATCTTGTTCCATTTATATTCCTGCAAACCAGCTATTTGTAAGCATCAGCCTCTCTCCTTTTTTAAAATCTATTGTTCCTTATATTCTTACTTTCTGTTTGTTGTTCAGTCGCACAGTCGAGTCCGACTCTTCGCGACCCCATGGACCAGCTCCCGCCAGGCCCTCCTGTTACATCTTTTTAATCTTGCATTCTGGCATTTAACCTTCCTTGTTTTGCTGTTGTTTTCTCCATAACTAGCATCCTATTTGATCTGTAACTGTCATTCTGTATGATCTTTCCCTGTGAAAATTTTCATGTCTTGCTGTTACTCAAAATGCTTCAGTTTTCTTTCTCCTAATTGTATTATATCCCTTTCAGTCATGTAACACCAATTCTACTTGCATTTTTAATAATCTCTTACACGTAAATTACACTGTACATCTTCCAGTTTTTACTTGACTTATCTTCAGACAACATTGATCTTTCTGTTTTTCTCTGTTAGGGGATCCAAAGGACTGCAAGCAGAGCTCCTATCAGAATGTTTCCAGCTTCCCCCCTTTTCATTGCAGACCCCTTTGCTTCTCCAACAAATCGTTCTGAAGGTCAGGCAGGGCTTATAAATAGTGTAGAGAAATGCTTTCCACCTTAGAGTTCACCCTAATAACTCAGCCATTGGCACCTGCACTCTGGCCATGACTTGGGACCCAGCTGCAAGCATAGAGTTGGCAAAGGGGAAAACTGCAGGAGATGAGTCAGCTGTCTCCCAAGTACCGAGCACTCCAGCATTTAACTATGGAGACAGTGCTTGCTGAAGCAAAAAAAATAATTACTACCTAATGCCTTGTCACATCTACAGGGAGACAGACTGGGACAGCCAAAATGCTAGAGTATATTTTCTTCTTTTTGAGGCAGGAAGATCATGATTGATCCTAGAGGGGGATGGACTCCCAGTAGAAGAATATACATTCTCATGGTATGAGGAAGAAAGTCTCTGATGCTGTTACTCTTACACTGACTCTTGGCTCTAGCCATGAGTGACTAGATATTTGCATTGGGGCTCCATCTTGACCATGTGTTGGGGAACAATGGGGAATTCCCAATTCTGAGAACTAAAGTAATGATAGACTTTTAAAGGGTCACAACTTCAAGAATTACTGACCTATCCTAATCAAACATCATTTAGGATAAGTTTAGGATTTAGAGGATTGTATGTTTTCACCTTCATATCCTTGCTTGACCAGATCATGTATACTATTTTTGTGTATTAAACTTTATTATATTTTGAATGCTTCAGTCCTGATCTCTGTAAACACACACCACAGCTATTCAGTACTGCTTCCGAAAGAGCAGTAAAAGAGAAAGGCTGATTATGAACGTGATTGCTTGAAACGTAATAGATTGTCCCCAAGCTAGGTAGTACAAGCAAAGTAGGAGACAGGGCAACCATTAAATGGCAACATGGTTGTGGATGTGCAGATGTGTCTTGCAGGGGATACCTGTTCACATTTGTTGGTGGCAGCAGTTACTACCCAGGGATAAGCTGATAACCCCAGGGAGTAAGGGGAAGAGGTTGTTTTGCCACGTAGAGACCTAAGATGGCTATGGGGCTTTTCTGATCTCCTGAGACCTGAGGGAATGGGCCTTGCGAGAGTGCTCTTTCACAAATAGTAGAGGACATGGTTTGGAAGTCTGCATTGGGAATTCTATTCAGTGGGGCTCATTCTCAAGAAAGTGTTCTTATTTTAGTGGTATTGAATTTGATGTTCAAACAATATTTGAATGATTTGTGCCTATATTCAATTTTATCTCAGTGACTAATGTATTTTTAGATTTGAATATGTATAGAAATGATGCTGTTAATTTTAAAATCCTTAGGAATTTGATAAAGCTAACACACAAAGAGTGCATCAGTTGTTCTGGGATGTGGATGAAATGCTGTTTGAAGGCAAAGTGAGTTCCCAAACTGAGAATCTAAGGGCAGAATGTAAAGATTGGACCAACAGATCTCTTCACTTAAGGCAAGTCTTCGATTATTTTCTCTGTCTGGATGTGTAGACTCTCTCTTTCTAGAGTTATTTCCCCTCAAACATGTCTGCAGTTTGCTTTTTTACTTATTAGATTAAGCAGTGAACATTGTTGTAGTCACCAAATTGAATTCTAGTGTTTGGAATTCCATAGAGTCTGCATATGTTTCATTAGCAATGAACTGAGAGCTAGTTTGGTGTAGTGGTTAAGTGTGCAGACTCTAATCTGGGAGAACTGGGTTTGATTCCCCACTCCTCCAGTTGCAGCTGCTGGAGGACCTTGGGCAAGCCATAGTTCTGTCAGAGCTGCTCTCTCAAGAGCAGTTCTCGAAAGAACTCTCTCAGCCCCACCTACCTCACAGGGTGTCTGTTGTGGGGAGGAGAAGAAAAAGGAATTGTAAGCTGCTCTGAGATCTGAGTGAAGGGCAGGGTATAAATCTTAATATCTTATTTTTCTTCTTTTGCAGAATATTGGGGAAACAGCTTGTTCTTCCTAACGATGAGGGCTTTCAGCACTACCAGAGAAGAAATGCCAACACTGTATGTTCCAGATCCTTACCTAGCTTGAGCGAAATGACCAGCAGTATGAAAGAGTATGTTGACCCTTCAGTATGAACTGTCACTTAATGCGTGTTCTTTATATAGTATGTTTGAAAGTCATACATATTTTTAAATATAAAACTATGTCAAGGACCCAAGCCTGGGTCCCTGTGAGCCACTACCCCTTAGGCAAGCAGGCAGCACCCAGAGCTGTGGGTCCTCAAGGTTATCGGCACACAAGGAACCAGACCTTGGTAAAACATATACAGGTTTATTAAATACTTTAAGAAACTATGATATCTCTGGGCAACACAGTCCCTGCAATCCTGCGGCAAGGAAATAAGAAAAGCTAACTTCTCTAATAGAACAAAGTTTGAGTCCAGTGGCACCTTTAGGACCAGCAAAGTTTTATTAAAACTGTAAGGTTTGGTGTGCAAGCACCCTTCCTCAGACAAAATGGAATAAAATCTCCTCAAGCACTACTTACAGGAAAAAGAGGGTGGAGGGCAGCTGTTAGGAAGAGCCACTCAGAGCCAAGATGCATATGCAGAGCTGAAATTGGATCAGGTGGCCAGTAAGATCAATGAATGGCAGCAAATTAGCACGTAAATGCAAGAGTTAACAAAGTGATGTGAGAATGAAGCTAGAGTCCAGCTTCTTCAGACCAACACAGCTACCCACATGAATTCTCTATCTAATACTTCAATATCAGGTATTAGATGGCACACCTTTCAGAATATCAGAGTCCAAGCTAGAGGCTTAAGCATTGCCTCTGCAGCAGTCCATCACAGTGGGGCTTAGCATAGTCTGAGCCAAGGCCCAGTTGAATCATCAAGTTATCATGGCTTCCCTCTTGTCTATGGCTTAATAATAATCTTTGGCCATCTGGCATCAGGTGATCTCCCAAACCCAATCAGGGAGCTTGCTTGATGGAACTCTCTAGAAGATGACGACATCTGCTCCTGTTTCTCCCCTCCCATCTAGTCATAGAACGGAACACAGGTTCCCAGGATTAGTCAATTACCGCATTCTTGAATTTGGTCTTGAAGGAGATAAGGATGGTACAGGCAAGGAGGCCCAGTTGTGGACACCTGCAAGCCAGAGCAGGCTTACCATTATTCATGTTAACCCTTTGAGGGGGGGGATCAGAGTGCTTTGCCTCACAAACTATAACAGTTAACAAATGCATAGTGAGAGGACTTATGTTTCTCCCAATAGTGTCCAAATAATCAGAAGGAAGAGTCCTTATAGAGATATGTTCATCTGGAGATTCTTTATGAAAAATAGAAACAAGTAGTTAATTCTCATAAGCAGTAACTATGGGCAGTTTATAAAGGTAATTGTAGGATAATTTGAATTCATTAATATTTTTGTAACAATGCAGCTGATGTGGAAAAAAATAACTTATTATTTCTTGTACATAAAAAGTATTAATAAAAAGCTTGGACAATAGATTTTCTTGGGCTGCGGTCACATGCAACATTAGCCACGCAAGAGATACGGAAGACAGGCGGAGTTTCCGGGCGCGATCTCACCAGCACATCTGGGGAGCGTAGCGCTTCTGTGGCACAACCGAGGCTTCCTCCCGAAACCGCGCAGCAAAAAACTAGTACCTCGGAGGTACTAGTTTCCGAAAACTGCGGGGCAAGGGCGGGCGTCTGATCGCGTTTCCGGTGGCATCCGGCGCCCGCCCATGTCCCCTTGTGAAAAAGGTTTTTTTCCCCCAAGTCCCCGTGGTTGCGCACATGCACCCAATGGAGCATGCGCATTCGTAGTGAACACAAAAAAAGAAAACTAGTTCACCGCGTCGCGCGCTTCTTCGTTGCGTGCAGGCATGTGTTGTGATCGACGCCTCTCCGTAACCACAGAAGCTCCACGGTACCTCCACAGAACCTCCACAGGAGGTATGATCGCTTTACTGCGTGTTAGTTTGCCCCAGGGCAAACAGCCACGCTTCCCCCCCGCAGTTTCCTGCCCGTGTGACCGGGGCCTTGGTTAGATAACATGTTAGGTGCAGAGTTTTGAGGATCAAGGATTGATGCCCATGGGGCATCTGTCTTAGACACTAGTCCACAAAGTGATGCTCCCTTCACATAAGTCCCTTCCCCCCATTCCTTAGACCTGGCAGAATTGTGAGTCATAGTTTTGGAACTACTGGAAAAGCTCTCTGTGGCAAGTGAGGCAGATAAAAGGAGGTATTCACCACCCAGAGGACGCTAATGGCTAAGAAGGGGCCACCTTCATAAGGATGTTTTGTCATTCTTCATTTCGGGTTACAAATTGCGACATAACTTCTAATTCAGTTGCAATATGGCACTTTTTCTTGTATCTGGAAAATGTCTTTAGGTTATGCATTTCGGGCTCCAAACTGATCCCTGCAGCTTCTCCAGTGCACAGGGCATCCAACGCTGATTTAGCTGAGTCATCTGTGTATTTGTTTTTGGAAGAAGAAATCTATGATGCAGAGGGGAAGATCGAAGAGTACCTTGCATTTGACAACAAGGAACTGTAAGCACTCCATTTTTTAAAAGAGTATAATAAAAATGATTAAACTATCTTTAGAAAAAGGTCATGCTTCTCTGTAGTAGCTGTTTTCTTTATAATAAGAACTAGGGGAAATGCCTGTTGCAGGAGGAGGCAACAGGACCTAGGGAGAGCTGTCGGCTTGGGGTAAGGGGGCTGGGCCCGGGCCCGCCCGGTGAAGCAGGGCCGGGGCGCAGCATGCGGCCACCTGCCGCATCCCCGAGCATGGCCGGGGCCGCCGGAGTCCCCTCCAATGCAGGGCCTACAGCCTGGCTGGCAAAGTCCGCCCCATGCAACAGAAGGCTGGTGTGGCCGCCAGAAAGAGGCCTCGCGCTTGGCGGGGCCACAATCTTGCCCCACTGAAGGACTTTGCCTCTCACCAGCGGAGAGGTCCTCCCGCCTCCCAGCCAATGGCACGCCAGCAGCCTTGAGCGGCAGCTGGCAGGCCAATGGCTGACGGTGCACATTTTTTCTCCGCTCCCTTACTCAATTATATATAAGGAGAGATAACATTCTTTATAATTTAAAAAAATTCATATTAAAAATATGAAATAGTTGGTCACTTTTAGGCAAATCCAGTAAGACAACATAAGCTAATTGACCGTTTATTAATAGAGAACAGGTAATGTTTGGTAATAAAGCTTTAATTTGCTTGAATTAGTGATGATGAGAGTTTGGAGCAAAAGAAATCTCAGCTTGCTCAGAAGAGGACTAAGCGTGGGATTCCTCCTGTTTCCCCCAATGCCTGCATCAAAGATACTGTCACTGCAGAGATATTTGATCATGTCTGGAAGAGTGTAATTGAAGTACTGGAAGAACTAATAAGAAAGAACTGGGAATCAGCTGTTGCAGGTAATTGGAATGTTTCTGGGGAAAGCACTTCTAGAAATAGTCTTAAAGGTAATAATTTCTAGAAATTCAAACTGTTCTGTGGTTGAGAAATGTATAGTTAGCCTGTGCTAAAATATCAGTCTCTGGCCTTGCTTTTGTATTGTTGTCCTGTGCAAACATGCTGGGAACAATGGCTTGCATTAGCCCTGGTTTGCATTGGTACATATGCAACACAAAATCATGGTTAAAACTGGGATGTGAAAGAGAAATCGCTGTGCAGGTGGGATAGAGAGGGGAACATGAAATCCCGAGGCTGGATTTGCTTTGCAAGGAGCCAGCATCGTATTTAGATTGGACCTGTGTGAATAACTGTAATGCTGCACATTACTGCTAGTTTGTATATATATTTGATTCAGTTTTTTTTCAATGATGGTCTAGAGAATGACAAACAGATGGAGAAACTGAAAGCTATTGGGAATAAATTGCCACATCTGCCTGTTCCTCGTGTTACAGTAGATGCATCAAGTGTACCTCCATCAAGAGGGTCAGAGGCTCGAGTAGCATCTTTTGGCTTACACTTTGTCCCATCACAGGTAAATAAATTCTGGCTAGGGTCCTGGTAGTCCAGGAGTTGAAATTCAGCTTTTCTCACCAGCCTCTTCTGGCCCTAGGTCCCTCATATCCCCCCTGTCTTCGTGAGCTGCCAGCCACAGTGTCTCTTTCTTGCAAGCTTCCATTCACCCCTCTTCTTTCTGCTTAGGTACCTGTGTGAGATATAAAGCAGTTGTCTGGGTTCTCAGCTGGCCTTCTGTTTTCAGGATTTAGGCTTGCAGATAGGCCAACAAACTTTTTTTTTAATAAGATGTATGTACACAGTGTTTACATTATATGCACACCAATGTTCCCTCTAATCTGTGGAGTCTTGTGAGCAAAAATTCTACTATGGGAGCCACTGGCATTAAAGTTGTGAGCAAACGATTTGGCTGCTGCATAAGTTAGTCTGCTCTGGAACCATCCTGCCTGAGCTAAGAAAAAAATTGTGAGCTGGAGGCTAAAAAAATGTGAGCTAGCTCACACTAACTCAGCTTAGAGGGAACATTGATGCACACAGACATATATACACAGGGCAAACAAAAGTCTGGTTCTGCTTAGCCTTTTCTCCGACAGAACAGCAAAATTACGTAATATTCTCTATATTAAGTGAGCTTAATGTTTTATACGTGCGTGCACACAATGGTTTAGCAAGCTCATAGCTAGTCCAAAGTCCAGGACTGGTGTCAGTGGTTGGCTTGGCGCAGTACGACTTCAGCCAAGGTCGATAGCGTGGCAGAGGTTTCCCCTACCTTGAGACATTGGGTTGATTTGTTACTTCCCAGTGGGACAAAAACCTGGTGAAAGTTAAAAGACAAAAACACACACGAGAGGATTTTTGTTCTTCTCAAAGCATTGGGGAGCACAAGAGGAATGCTTTGTCCTTTTTAAAGCAAGCTGAGATTTCTTTTGCTCCAAACTCTCCTCTTCACTAATTCGGGTAAATTAAAGCTTTCTTACCGAACATGATTGGCTCTGCTCCAGGCATTCTTCCCTGTTGGCCCAGGGGCCCTTGCCAGAGTTTCTGGATCAAGCAGACCAGCTCCACTTTCCTGTTCCTTTTAGATCTGCTTTCACTGATGAGGCTAAAAGGCGAGAAAGGCCATTTGTAACTGTGTATGGGTGGGGAGATGTGGGGGGGGCTTGATTTGTAAGACTGGCAGCTGGTCCTGCAAGAGCCCATACTGATGAATCCCCCCAAAATAATGGCTTTTCCTGGTTTATTGGGGAATTATTCAGATAAGCTTGTGTAGCTAAAATAAACATAAATGTGACATCCTGCAATGCCTTAACAATGTTTCATATAGTGTATTAAAAACTAGTATTTCAAAAGAGCAGTGGAGGATTGATTAAAAAATCTTGTACAGAGATTGATTAAAAAGATAAGGAATAAATAACTCCAGTGAACTTTGCTAAAACCCTTGGTGCACTTATGTGTTTTCATTAAGTATATATGTTTTCCTAAACTACAACAAAAAAAGGGGTTTGTTTGACATATGGCGGCTGATTAGTGTGAGTACTTTGTGTTTTATCCTTATAGTATGGTAGCCACCACAAAACTACTTTTCCATGGTCAACCCCCAAGATGATATTGATCTACTTAATTTATACCCACTTTTCTCCCCAGTGAGGACCCCAAAGCAGCCTACGTAGTTCTCCTCTCTGTTTGAGCCTCACAATAATCCTGTGAGGCAGGCTAGGTTAAGAGCTTGTGACAGGCCCAAGGTCACCGAGCCAGCTTCCCTGGCAGGGTGAGGATTTGAACCTGGGTCTCCCAGATTCTAGTCCAACACTCTAACCACTACACCACACTACACAAAAATGACAGGTATTTTGCCATGGTCCCATAGGTACTTCCCATGCTAGCACCACAGTTCTATCTGCTGCATGTGTGGGAAGCACCTCTGAAATCCAGGTGACTTGTGTGATGCACCCTCCAGCCAACCATAGGGAAAATTTTGTAATAGCGACTTTGTTACAAAAGTAATGTGCAAACTGGACTTCAGTCAGGTCAGTAAACCATTAAGAAATGTGCATGTGGTGTAGTGGTTAAGAGCACGAACTCTGATCTGGGAGAACCAGGTTTGATTTCCCACTACTCCACGTGCAGCTGCTGGTGTGACCGTGGGTCAGTCACAAGTTCTCTCAGAGCTGTTCTCTCAAGGGCAGTTCTCGAGAGAGCTCTCTCAGCCCCACCCACCTCACAGGGTGTCTGTTGTGGGGAGGGGGAAGGGAAAGGAGATTGTAAGCCACTCTGAGACTCCTTCGGGATAGTGAATGGCGGGGCATAAATCCAATCTCTTCTTCTTCTTCTTTATATAGAGGTGAATTTTTCTTTAAACATTAATTGCAGTGTGCATTCTAGCTCTTCAAAGAGTGTTAGCATTAAACCACTTTTTTGCACATGTTTTTCATGTGGGATGGAATTCCCTTCAGTTTTTTCATGCATAATCTTTAAACTCTGTGGGTGTCCCCCCTTCAATATTTGGTGTCTTTCTGGCAAAGCCCTGAAAGAGTTAATAACGGTTGGTTCTATTTATTTTGGTAGATGCATCGTTTCCCCAGCAATTTGTACAGCGATTTAAATGGTGTTATGACCATTCAAGCTAAACCACTACAACGAAGGCACTCAGTCTTGGCAGAAAAGACTCAGTGAGTATTGGGAAGGCTTGTGAGATCTCGCGCTTCACTTTTGCAGCGTAGAAAAACCCATCCTGCCACATGGTTCCATAGATTCTTAATGAACTCTGGGTCCTCCGTCTCATGCTACGTTTTGTTATTTTGCCTGTGTCAAACTTGTATTTTCTTTTAAACATCTCAGTGCAGCATATTCTGTTTTGGTGGTGGTGGCGGCGGTGGCGGTAAACTAGTCCTGTACAAGTGGCGACTGGCTTCCTGAAACTGTCCCTCTCTTTCAGGAATGAGCAAGAAGATAAGCCACAACCCACAGGCCCCAGTGTTAACTCAGCGCGAAATCGGCTGGGGCGAATTACTGACAGCAGCGTTCTTTCATCTTCCCGGGTGTTGCAGGGATCCTCTAGGAAAATGCCAGGCCATCGTAGGCTGCCATCTATCGTCCCTGAACCATTGCGCTCAAAAACCTCCAACGTTTACAGCGATGAAGTTCTTAGGGGGACAAAACTGTAAGACGTCGTTTTCTCCTCATTGCTACTGTGATCTTAGCAGGAGACTCAGGTCGAGTGATTTGGCTTCATCGCAGCTATTTCACTATTCCATTATTGTGTCTATCACAACTGATTTTATTTTATGTCACATTGTGTTGTTCTTAAACCTGCCACCTAAGCCTTGAAAGTAAGTCTGCAGTGCCTAGTAAAAGCATTAGAAGCCAGCAGAGGATAATACCAGCTGCAGAATTAAGCCATTCTGGCACTGCTGAAGTATGATTTATTTATTTAGAATATTTATATCCTGCCTTATTGCTTTAGACTCAAGGCAGAGAACGAGGAAACAAGTTACAGGACAGGAAAAAAACCCCCAAACAAACAGCATAACAGTCCATCAAAGAGATCAAAACAACACGTCAACCCAAAATACACAGATCTGGTTTGATGAAGCTATATATTATACACAGTTCTGGTTTGGTGCTTTATTGAACATGATTTGAGAACTAGAACTAATTGTTAGGTTTTTGACAGGCTTTACATGAGAATTAGAAGAATTCGGCTGCTCTCCTCGGAGGAGGAAGAGGCAGGGACATGTGATGCCCAGCATCATGGTGTTTCAGCGTGGGGGCAGAGCTGGCAGGGATTTAAGGATGGCTCTGCCCCCACCCTGCCTCTTTCCATAGCCAATGTGAGCAGTGGGTCTGACCTTGTAAGCAGTAAGTGATGTGTTCAGGGGCATTGTCAATTTGTAAATAGGCATCTTGCAAAAAGACATAACAGGTATTCCGCTGTCTATGCAACCTTAAATTAAGAACAACTCCTCCTGCAGTAGTTGAAGGAACTGAAAAATGCACAATTGTGTTTATTCATATCGATTTTCCCCTCAGGTGCACGGCCTTAGATCGCATGTCTTCTCCAATTCCGCCGACAACACGGAACAAGTTGCCACCAATAAGTTCAGAAGTTGTTGATCAGTATCTTTCAGTTCCAGGATCCCGGCAAGGTTTTGTAAGAGATATACTCCTTCCCTTTTTTAATAGCATTATATCTTTAGCTGAAATGTAGAAAGAATCATGTTGTCACTCAGTCTGTTTAATCACAAATAACTGAATCCCTCAGGGTTGTGCAGTGGTTAGAGCACCAGGCTTAGACCTGGGTGACTAGCGGTGCCGTCCTAAGTAATTACGCCGTTGTAAGCCCATTGATTTCAGTGTAACTCTGCTTAGGATAGGGCTGCAAGGTTCCAGTCCTTGTTCAGTTATGAAGCTGAATGAATGCTCTTGCACAGGTCACTGTTTCTCTGCCTAATCTACCTCACAGGGCTGTTCTGTCACTGGAAGGTGGGTGCAACAAAAGACAAGAAACAGATGTTTCAGAAAGGTGTTTTCTTCTTCAGTAACCTGTGTGTTTCTGTAACTTTTAAAGGAACTTGTTTCAATTTGCAGCTGCACTGATGCCTTCCTGTTTTGACTTTACTGCATCAGATTCTGTTCCCTCTTATTTTAGCAATTTCACTTCTGTGCCTTCTTCACGTACCTTGTTTTAGCAGCTCGTGGTTTTATTTTTCTTCCCATTTAATTTACCAGGGCGGGGGTGGGGATAATGTAGTAGTCCACATTTCCTGTGCTGGTTTTGTATCACCAAATATTAGAATGCATTGTAGATATCAGGGTATCCAGTTTGGACATAGCAGGTATAATAAGTCAGGCAAACAGCTGCCCAGTGTCATAGCCCCCCCCCCCCCCCAGTATTCAGACTACTTGCTATTGCACACATTTCAGTCGCCCAATAAAAGGTGCAGGAAGGAGAAGAATGGCCACTTATGCCTATTATATGAAGTTTATAAGTTTACTGGAAAGTTTTTAAAAAGCGCTGAAAAAGTCAGTTTCCCCACTGACTTCTCCCCAGAACAGATGCTCAACATTAGGAATACTTTGCGTTAGCTAGAAAGAAATGGGATACCATGGTTTGCTTTCTGGAGTGGTAGAATAAAAATGTGTAGATGGAATAGTAGACCCTCACCCTTTGTCTATTTTTGTGATGCTCAGTTTCACTTATTCGTAATCCATGATGTGGTCTCCAGGCTGCTTTTTACTCCAACTTGCACCCTCATGGTAATCATTGCGTTGTTAAATTTTGTGGAATACTGACTGTTTTGCTACTGGGAGGTAAGCAGACCCCTGCCTCTCAGTACTTGCAGATTTCAGCATTCACAAAGATCCTAGAAGTGGATTCCCCATGAATGGCAAGGATCTACTAGTTCAGTCCTTTTTCCAAAAACTGCAGTGACAAACAGGTGGTAGGTGGTCCTCCAGAAATAGGTCAGTTGTTCACCAGTGGACCTCAGTCTATTCTCTAGCAATCTTTGGCCTAATCCTACAGTCGCCAGCAATTAGCAAGGTTCCCTCTTCATTTACCTTCCCTTTCTGCTTCTGACGCATGGGTGAACTTAGATTATGAGCCTCTGTGTTTGACTTCAGCAATGTACAGTGCTTACCAAGTCCTGTAGCATGGCTACCTGTCTGCAATGCATCTGTTGCAGCGTAAAAGAAAAGACTGTAAAAGATCCACCGGAAGCTCACTTTGCTTACAGTGTAGTGCATTGCACTAGAGCCACTGTGGAATCGTCATTAGAGTGTTGGATTAGGATCTGGGAAGTAAAGGTAAAGGTTCCCTTGCTTGAAATCCAGTTGAATCCGACTCTAGGGTTGCGGTGCTCATCTCCATTTCAAAGCCAAAGAGCCAGCGCTGTCCGAAGACAATTCCGTGGTCATGTGGCCAGCATGACTAAACACCAAGGCGCACGGAACGCTGTTACCTTCCCACTGAAGTGGTACCTATTTATCTACCTGCAATTTCTTGTTTTCGAACTGCTAGGTTGGCAGGAGCTGGAACTAGAGACGAACGCTCACTCCGTCATGCGGCACCCGGGTCTCGAACTGCTGAACTACCGACCTTCCACAGCCTGCAGTTCAGCGTCTTAACCACTTGAGCCACCACAGCTCTGGGAAAGCCAGGTTCAAATCCCGATTCTGCCATGGAAACTTACTGGGTAACCTTGGCCCAGACCACCAAAGCGGTTAACAATTTAAAACATGCATATAAAATTACATTATAAGACCATTAAAATCAACCCCCCTCCCAAACATCCATCATTAAAACAATTTTTAATAGCACAAAGGTTGTTGTGAGGCTAAAATAGAGGAGAATAGTGTAAGCCACTCTGAGTTCCCACAGGGGAGCCAGGTGGGGAATAAATGAGGTAAAATAAAATCTATACTGAATTGCACCTCATTCTCACCTTTATTCTTGAGTAGGACTTCTAACAATTCCCCTGTTCCCCTTCTGCTTTATATAATACTAGGGAAAAGGCCCGTTGTGGAAATAAATACGGCCTCTAGAAAGAGGCTCTGGGCGGGTGCCCTGGCCTTGGACACTCAGTGTCAATTTGCTGTGGCGACCTCAGCAGGGTATAATGACACTGAGTCCACCATTTTCTCCAGAGGAACTGATCTCTGCTACACAAAGAACAGTTGTAATTTTGAGTGATCTCCAGCCCTCACCTGGAGATTGGCAACGATGGTTCCCCAGAAGGGAATAGTTGGTTTGGAGGGTGGAATCTATGGCTTTGTATCTCTCCGAGGTCCCACACCTCCTGAAACCTCACCCTCTCCAGGCTCCATCCCTCATATCTCCAGAAATTTCCCACCTGGAGTTGGTAACCCTATCTCTTTCCCAGCCAATCATCAACCTACCTTTATTTCCCCCTCACTCTTCAGCTTTCTACCCCCCACACACCTGCAGCCTCTCCCGTGCTCTGAAGCCCTGACTGCTATGTCACATTGGCTGTCATACGGGGGCCACCTCAGCAGCATATAAGGATACAGAGCCCACCATTTTCTCCAGGGGAACTGATCTCTGCCATCTGGAAAGCAGTTGTAATTCTGAGTGATCTCCAGCCCTCACCTGGAGATTGGACACATTTTACCTCAGAACAGCAAACTGTTTAGAATGTTAGAGGCAAAAGCCAATCAAGTCGCATATGCAAACGAACTTTGTGTTCCGAGGTAAAGGCCAATGAGGCTGCATATGCAAATAACCTCTGTGTTCTGACTGGCTATGGGGGGGGGGAGGAACAGCAAACTGTTTAGAATGTTGGAGGCGAGACTCAAGCAATACAGCCAGTGGATAGGGACAAATTCTGAGTGACACACCAGGGCGCCAACCAATTCAGGAGCGTGTGGAATGTTCTAGAGAAGTGCAACCACCATTCGGCTTTTATTTATAAGGGAGATGTAATATTTCATTGTCATGTATTCAAGAAGGGTAGCTGAAAGCTCTCTTTTTCAAGCAAATCTGTTAAAAGCTAAAGTGTGCTTATTTTAATGTAATTATTACAGTGTCCTGGTGGTGTAAAGGGCTTTTTCTTCTGTCTTTTCAGCACAGAAGAAGATATCCTCCCAGCAGAATATCCAGTGCAGTACCTGATGCTACTGAACGACGGCCAGTTAGAGAGCGCACTGTAGTAATTGATCAGTTTTCAAGACCCAATACCACTCATACATTTCGGGTAAGTATTTGAAAGGCTGCAAACTTCAGACCCCCCCCCCCAATTAAACTGAAGACAAAGTGTGGATGAAACCACTCTAGTACCAACCGTTCAACTGTATATGGTTATTCTTGTGCGACTGGTCTGGCTGGTTTAGGGTCGTAGAGGCTGTTTCTCCTTCCAGAGAATGTAGTATCAAGAGTCTAATTTGGAAGCTTGAGATAATTAAGCTATATCTTCTAACAAAATATCCTTAGCTGAATTCTCTCAGCTGAAAGCAAGTAAAAGAAACCCACTCACCTCTCTCACAGCTCTCTCTCCTGCTCCTGCTCAGAGCTCAGCTGGTCTCTCTGAGTTAGACTCTGAATAACACCTGCTTTAGATTGCTCTCACATTGTCCCAAATACCAGCTGCTGTCAATAAGACTGCTGGCTCAATTTCCCCAGTATTGGTTAGGAACGAAACAAACATAATATAAGAGCATCTATTGCAGTACCCTGTTTCACAGGATGACCACCCAGATGATCCTAGAAGGCCTTCAGGGAGGTCCCAAAGATCCAAGTCTACCCCAATTGCTGCTTTCCAGTACTGGCATTCAGAGGGTTACTACTGGTGCATATGTCATTCTGGCTCATAACCACTGATGGAGCTGTCTTCCATGGAAGCCAGTCCCCTTTTAAAGTCAACTAAACTTGGGGCCATCCTTGTTTTCTGTAGCAGTAAAGTCCATAAGTTAATTACGCTTTGGGTGAAGGTACGCATTTGTTGATCCCCTTGGAAATGGTTTTGACCACTCTTCAGCTCTCCTTATGGAATAGTTACATCCCCATAACTCATGGTTCATTTGCTGGTCAGTGTCTAGCCTTGATTTATTGTTTTGTAAAAATAAACATATGTTTCTCTGTCAGTCAGATGCAGCTCATAAAAGGTCATTGACGTCTATGGATTTTGCTAATCATATGTGGACAGGTCAAGGAGTACTGACAGGTAAGATTTTTTAAATTTTACTCACAAAAACCAAAGACAATTGGTTTTATTTTTATTCACAAAATTTTATTCACAAAAACCAAAGAGAAAAACCCATCATCCCATCTAAGCAATGCATTATAAACATCTTGAAGAAATATTAATAACTAGGAATAAGGCTTGTTGTGGGAATAAATACAACGAGCTCTAGAAAGAGGCTCTGGGCGAGGGCCCTAGCTTCCCCCCCC